AGATAATTGGCACTACAGTGTTGGCCACTATCTTTGGTGGTCGAGTTGTTTTCGGAAATTTATTTGATAGGTAGTATATTTTAACAAGATGGATATAAGATACGAATATGATAATTATTACCTTTCCTTTTCTGTAAAACCCATTTTCGAAACTTCCATGTGAGATAAAAGACATATTTCTTACGCTTGAATAATATAAATATCAATAGATATCAAATATGAAAATTTATTATCATCGCCTTAATTTAAGGTGGTTCTGTGCTAACAACTAATAAATAACGTTATTTTGAATTTTTATGAATTTTGTCGAAGGTAATAACCAATTCGAATTTAGTAAATCCAACTTTCTCTGAAATGATTTACTTTGTCCAGAAAAACAAATGCTTGATTACAAATATTATATAATATGTTAACATTGTAGTATAATTATTATTATTATTTTTTTTTGATATACTATATATATATAATACAAATTAGTAAATTCGGAAATAGTATACAAAATATAACTTGATTAAATCTCTAGGATCAATTACGAGAAGAATTATCAAACTGATAGGATGCATCATAATTGACGGGACGCGATGAGGGATTAGGGAAAGCATTAGGGACGACATGAAGGGGCGCGTGAGAACCATGAGATTGGTGACTAGGCATTCCGTTATTCCAACCATTGCCAGATCCCATTGTTTGATGATGACCTGTAATTCCGTAGTGTCCATCTCCAGTTGCTATTACATTTGAACGTGGATGATAATTGGGGACTCCATAATGCCCAACTCCAGTTACTGGAGCATTTAAACCTTGACCGTTTCCAGGAATTCCGTAATACCCAGTACTAGGCGTCATGGGGTTTGGGCCTTGATGGCTAGGAAATCCGTAACTTACTCCTTGTTGACTGTTAGAAATTCCATAATAATCGGCTCCAGTTCTCGTAAAACTTGATACTTGCTGACTGTTAGAAATTCCATAATTTCCACTTCCTGTTCCCTTAGCATTTAGTCCTGGTTGACTGTTAGAAATTCCATAATTTTCACTACTAGAACCACCAATATCGACATCATGTGCAAGATCATTATCTTCATTCTTGATTTGTATATTAAAATCATCATCAAAACTACCTCTCCGACCCTTATTCTTTTTAATATATTTTCTAATTAATAAAATTATCCCCGCTGTTGATACTGCTCCGACCATTACAGCCGCTATGACTATAGCAATATTTATAGTAGTACCATCAGAATTCGAACTATTATTGTTCGGAGCAGCGGTTTGTGTAGGTTTTGTTGTCGGAGTAATGTATGTAGTAGATAAGGAAGTTATCGTTATTACAGGCGGAGTAATTGTACGGACTGATGTTTGAGATCGCACTCCTAGTTTATTAAAGAGAGTATTTGAAAAATTATAAGTTGCGAAAGAATATATATAATAATTTGACATAGAATATTTACCTGGAACAATCATCAAACATATTATTGAGCTCCATAAGGATAATATAATTTTCATTTCATAAATTTGATCCATCATATACTCATTTCAAAAACCGAATGCTTGCTTTGTGGTTGTTGTGTTACATAGAAGATATTCGATGCTTCGTGGAAAGAACAGTAAATATTTCGAAGAACAATTCAAAGGTATATAATTTAGTTCGAAATCTGAGTACGAAACTTAAAATAGCTTTGAATTCAGATACAATGATAATAATTTTTTTTTACTTGTTACGGGTAGCATGAATAAAAGCTACTAAAGAAAAAGCAATTGGTTCATGTTTATATATAATTATTTTTTTTCCAGAAACTCCCTGACACATTTTCTTTATCTGAAGTATACATCATACCCTTTTTTATCTAACAAGGAATCAAATTCGGAAAT